ATGGGACAGGCATTTAAAATGTGCCCAGCCGCCCTTCCCCCTTCTTGAATCACATGTGCAGAAGGGGGCGTGTGCAGAAATGCTCACCACAGGCTTCTTTGTAAAAAACTGGAAGGAGACCAAATGTGTCCACCTGAAGGGAATGGCCAAGAACTGTAATGTAGCCGGACCATGGAATTTACTGAGAAAACACCCCCGGTGTCTGGGTCGAAAGGTGTGTGGGTGTCCATCTCCCCTGAGCTGTGCTAGCTGGGCACCTGCAGTTAGCAGTTCCAAAGTCACCCACACTTAGAGAAAGCTACAGTCCAGGTCACGAAGGAAACCAGGTGGCAAAATACTGGACTCTGTCAACCTGACTCAGACAGCAGCTGACACCTACCTGGATGGAAAATGACTCAAGTAAGGTGATGGGGCTCAGTCGTGTCTTTCATTTTAATTCTGAATGATGGGAAAGGAACGCACTAATGGGCCGTGGGGTAGACAGGAAAGGGTGATTGTTACACAGCTCGGGGCTGCGATGCTCAGCACCTGGCCAATCGCGTGGCCTTGGACAAACTAGTTAGTCAGCTGGCCTTGAGCCTGGCTGGAAAGAGACAGGAAATGAGTGTTCTTACTAATGTCTCTGGGTCTCAGTTTCCTCATCTGTAAAATGGGCTTAAGAATACCCACTTTGTGGAATTCGTGTGAGGAACACATGAGTGCACCAGGGGACCCGTAGTTGGTATGTTGAATTAAGGACATGCGTATTATGACTTGCGGATCAAGGAGGCCCACAGGGTCAACAGGTAGCTCCCTCAGCATCCAAGTGCACACTCTGAGGAAGCGAAAATCCTAGGGGCATTTTGACTGAAGGTGCAGTCTCAATACATTCACACGAAGGAGGTGAAGTCACAAGATTTATTACTTCCAGATCCTAGAAACGGGGTAGGGGTGCAATGAGCCAGAGGAGGGGCTGTCCCCCATCCCGGTCCTGAGCAGGCAGGAGACAGGGAGCAGGGCGGCAAGCACCTATTGCCAGGTGGTTGGGGTGGAGGCCACTGACTTTTCTCGGGCTCCAATCCAAGTGGTCACTTCCAGAGGCACGGATCTCAGAGGGAGGGATGGTGGGGGGCGGGCAGAGAGTAACCAAAGATATGCATATATTTATATGCATATATTCATAGCCCATGGACACAAACAATAAATAGTGTGGTGAAGGCCTGGGTGGGGCGGGAACCCAGTGGAGGGGGGGCAATGGGGGGAAACTGGGGGGCATCTGTAATACTCTCAACAATAAAGATAAATAAATTAAATTTTTAAAAAAGGTGCTCCAGGAAAAACTAAGCAGGAACTTGTGGCAAGAATCCTAAGCTCAGGTCCTTATCTAAATGTCCACACTGGGTGAGAGCAGGGTTGTCACAATATAAAACACCCGGGCAGCAACCCAAGATAGCGCTCTCTCGTCACGAGGTGGCACATTTGAACAGCCCAGTACAGGGCCTAGCACGCAGTTGGTTCTTGGTGAACATTCATCTTTATGCCTTTCCATTCCCTAAGCCTCATGAGTGGGCTGCAGGGAGGACAGCAATGAGGCGGGAAAGCAGGAGAGTGGAACATTTGGTGCCCAAGTCCACCAACCAGCCACTGAGGGTGAAAGTGCTTTATTTCCCCACAATCTGCAGATGGGAGCAGCCTCGGAGTGAGTCCATCTAGTGGTACTTCCAGTCCCTAAAGTGTAGCCCACTCATCACCACTGGGCACAACCCCCCAGTGGCCCCCCTGCTCCCCTGCACCTCACGGTAGAAGAGCCAACCGCCCAACTTTCCAGAAGGTCAGCTCATGTCTCCCCACCCACCTCCAGAGGCAAGGGTGAAACAGCAAAGATCACCATCCAGGAGGGAAGCCAACCAGACTCAACTCAGAGATCTGCCCCAAAAGGGACCATGCTTCTTAGATTCCAGTGCTCTCCAACTGAGTGGCCACCAAGAAATGTACTTCCAGTGAGTGGCTCCTAGCTCTCCAATAAAGCCACCTGCCAGTCTGCCTGCTCCAAATAGATCGAGAAGCCACCCGATGGGTCCCTCTCTGCCCCATGTTTCAGCACAAACACTCAACTGAAAGCCAGTTAAAGGCGTGCCCGGGGTCTTTGTGCAGTAGACTTGGGTCTTGGTCTATAAAAGCCACTGGCCAACCAGGAACAGAGTCTCCTGAAGACCAGGTAGGGCCAGCAGGGGAGCCTGGGTCATCCTTTTAATGGAATTTTTATTCCTAAGGGACAAGTGGTCAACTTACCCAGTGGTCTTCGCCATCTCTTGCCTCTTCCACACACAACTAGACTCAGGAGTCAATTTAGCTTCTGTAGTAGAGTGAGTGTTGATGTCTACCCAGTAAAGTAAGTGTGCATGTGAGTGAGGGAAGTAGGGATGTGAATGGCGTGCCCAGTTCAAGCACCCCGCGGAGTTGACCCCACCCTCCACTGCCAAGGATGGCAAGTCAGGACATTCCATTCCCTTGGTGGTGGCAACTGGACACAGCATTCAGAAAGCCCATAGAGCCATCGAGTTATAATGCAATTCCTGCTTGGACTGCTGAGAGAGAGGTGAATCCATAATAACGACCCTGGGAGAACGTAAGTATGGGGCTGCTCGGGGCCACCCTAAGGAGACATGAAGATGAACCAACAGAGAAAAGCATAGAATGGAGGAAAGAAGAAACCATAGCTGGTGGCACTGAGTTTCTGCATCAAACCAATCCTGACTTATCCCATTGGCTAATATATTCTCTCTCTGATTTAGGTCAATTTGAGTTGGTTCCGTGTCTTACAACAGAAATAGTCCTTGCTACACATCTTCGGGCCCTTGGGTCCTCCCTCAGTTTCTCACTGTAGACATGATTGAGTTTGGTCAGACTCAGGACAGAGACCTTTCCAACTGCTGTCTTCTGACACCTGGACACCAAGAGCTCCGGACGTCCCCTGTCAGGTGGCTCTGGGTTGTCTTCATCTGTCACTAGCTGCCAACCACCATGGGAAACCTACCCATTCTGTAGGTTTCCAGCCCAGGCAGTTGAGACTGAACTCAGAGAGAGGCACAGCAGGAAAAGTGTCACCCTGTACCCAGAGGAGGAGAGTGGAGCCAGGCTTTCCACCTCCGCCTGGAAGTCTAGAACGTCAGAGCCCTGCCCTCCAAGCTGGATCAGAAGAGGCCCATGCGATGGTGCATGATGCCCCGGGTGTTTCCAAGGCCAGCCAAGTGGACACTCCTGTTGCCCACAGCCTGGGTCAGCCTGGGTGGTCTGAACTCCACCTCAGGGAGGCCGGGGCCCCCCCTTACATGCTCATTCACTCTTGCAGGTGACCACGAAAGACCGTCAGCTGAAATTTTCCCAGTGGTGCATGTAGACAGAGAGCTCCCCTCTCCCCCCAAACCTGTCTCATCCACTGCTCTCCCTTCAGACGTCAGAAACATGCATTCTCTGGTTCTAGAACCTGGAGCAAAAAGGGGCTGGCAACCTCAATATCCTTTCTAGTCTCACTCAGCATCACCTACGTCAGCAACAGAGAGGGGATGGTGAGACCTACACTCTCATAGATCCCGAGGAGGGAAAGGAGATCACAACCCCTTTATAAAATGGACCATGATGTCCATAATCCTCCTGGAGCAGGGGAACTGCAAGTAGCCCATGTCGAGGGTGTTGAGCACCCCGTGGAAACCATCCTCCATGTGGTGCCAAGTCACCGGGACTCCCAGGTCCTCCAGTCTCTTCTTGTACAGCAGCGAATTGTCCCTGAGAAGGTCATACTCACAGCTCACAATGCAAGCCTCCGGGAGCCGAGATATTACTGCATCTTCTGCTATCAGGGGCGAGTTCATCAAATCCAGAAGGAGGTTTGTCTCCAGGCAAGCATTCTCGTTCGGGGTCGCAGGGGGCACCGGCTGGTAGCCTCTCTTCTTAAACCTCTTCGGGATGTTTTCTGAGCCCAGCCACTTTCTGTACTTTTCCCAGAGGTCGGCAGGCACATGGGCGTGTTCCATGATAGTGCTTTTCCAGACGGGGTTCACGTCCAGGTAATAACATATACAGCGGAAGGTGAAGTCCCAACTGAGCAGCGGCACGTCTTTGTTCTGCTGACAGGAAGGGAGCTGGAAATCCACAACTTGGAGAGCCGCGTAGACCAGGATCTGAGCGCGGATCTTGGGGAGATCCGAACGATCCAGGAGTTGTTGACAAAGCACCACGGCCACGCTCCCTCCCACACTGTCACCACAAACCGCGACCCGGGCTGGATCCACCCCGTACGCATCTAAGGACCTCAGGAAGTGGATGGTGGCCACCATGCAGTCTCTTATCGGCGACGGAAACTTATGCTGGGGTGCCTTGCGGTATCTAAAAAGGAATCAGGGTACGTGATTTACACTCGTCACCCTAGCAGAGCCCAAAACACCCGTGCCTGGCACCCTTGAGCCCAAACTTCTTCCACTAACTACTCTTTCTGAAACCTGAGCAGGTCAAGTTAGGGCCCGGGCTCAAATGAGCTGACAGACGTCAGGTCCTCAGCACCCGGCACGTGGGCTCGGTAAGTGGTAGCTGCTGATCCCACTGTGTCCATGTCAATTTGGGGGACAGGTTGTGACCACAAGAGCCCTGTCACCCACCTATTCGTCAGCAACTTAGCTATCACCAACAGGAGCCCCATCCTTCTGAGCCTGCCTGATGGGGCCGCCCTGACTCGCACCTGTTCCCTACTTTTTTGATTCTTTTATGAGCAACCCCAGGCTGGCCTGTGTTCAGGTGTCTGTGGCTCTCCTCTTGAAGACTTAAATACTACCAAGGGCCAGCAGGTGACATCTGGGCCGCCTCCAGATCGGCCAACCCAACTCAAGCCCCTGGCTTCATGCTCAGCCTGGCTGTTTTCAAGAGATTCCAGAAGTCTGGGTTTGGGAGAAATTTCACCATTCTAAATGCCGGCCTCTCGCTTAGGAAATGCTGCGTGGGGTCAACAAAGCTTCCGCCAGCCATTTCCCTCCGGATGCCCCCCATTCTCAGCCACCTGGGGCGGCAATGCTTTAACTCCCAAACCCTGTCTACCTTGGAGTCACAAAACAACTTTCTTGCAGGTGTTTCCTAGTATATTCTACTGATGATCTCTTGGTCCATCACAGCCAGGACAGTGAGACCCGCAGGGGCCAACAATTGCATCAAGATTTCCATCCACCCAGGAGAAATGGCTCCGGAGCCAAGAATTGTAACGTGAGGCTCTTCTCTGGGTCTCTCTCCCTCATCCAGGAGTGACATCGGTAATTTTTACTCAACTCAATTCTCTGTGCCACAAGAAGGCTGGGACATGCAGCCCCACCAAGATGCTGGCAATTGGTATTTCTTCGTGGTGTGTGCATTTCAACAAAACTGCAGGAAAAGCGCAATCAGTAGGAGCTGCCCTGCCCCGGGGGGACCACGTGTCAGGCAGGAGGACAAGGCCACAGCAGGCTAGTGACCACTCCTCATATAAGTCCAATTTGCCCGACATGGAGGCCCAGGGAGGGGCCACCTAGATCTCTACTGCCCCATATCCACCAAGCCCTCTTCCCCTTCCCGGATTGGGACAGTGACTGTCCGAGATCAGTTAGGAGAGAGAGTGGCTTTTTAATTTTTCTCGCTTCCTTGGACGGATCTCACCAGGGTGGAACCCTCTCTGGAGAGCACTTAGAAAGGATGTGGCAATGTGTGTGTGGTTGTCCTGGTGATGGTGCAGAGCACTGTGGGCAGTTAGCAGAGGGAGGGGCTGGGTGTCCAGAATGCGCAGGGCTGTTCTGCTCCACCGACAGTGCTCACCCTAAAGGGCTCTGCTCGGAAGCTCGGCAGGTGATCTGCCTAATTAAGCCCACTCCCCACCCGGCTTCCAGATGCCGTGCACCGAGCACCCCACGGAAACACGCCTGCGACGGCCCGAAGAAAGAGGTCGCCTCCTCTGCCTCTGTCTCTCCCTCCTCCTTCCTCTCCTCCTCGCTGGCCTCCTTGCTCCTGGTGTCCCCCCCGACTCCCCGCCTGCCTGAGTTCCTGCGTCCCACCCCGTCACTCCAGGCCACAGCCTGGCTTCCCTGCCCTCCCCGCCCTCCCCTTTACTCACCCAACTGCTAAAACCACTGAGTCACTCTCCCTGGACAAACAACAGCATGTTCTATGGTAGAGTTCTGGAAAATAAAAGGTTTTAAAATTCACTAGGAAGGCTACTGGGCTTCCTTTGCCGCCCCTTCTCACTGGCAACCTCCACAGACAGAGATCTTGGGGTGTGAATGTCTGTTCACAATATGAGAACATGTTGGGCCATCCGGTACAGTGGCCCAGTGTTCCAACTCCGGGCTCACACCCCAGTTCGAATCTCTACGTTGCCCCCTTTTCACTTGAGCTGAAGTAGTGTGAGGCGCGTCCCGTCTCTCCCCGAACCTTGACGTTTCTCATCTGTAAAATGGGGGTCATGATAACCATAGGGGGTGGGGGTTTTCAATGAGGTATTGTACATAAATCCACAGTGCCTGTCATGTAAATACCGATATTCCTAAATATTAATTAATAAATACTCGCTGCTGCCCTGGCCGAGTGGCTCCGTCGGTTGGAGGGTCATCCTGTGCACCGCAGGGCTGCGGGCTGGGTTCCCGCCGGAGCAGTCACCTAGCTCGTGGGTTCCATCCCCAGCGGGGGGTTGCACAGGAGGCAAGTTATCAATGTTCCTCTCCCACACTGATGTTTCTCTCTCTCTCCCCCTCCCTCTCTCTCTAAAAGCAATGAAAAATATCCTCAGGGGAGGAAAAAAATAAATAACTAAATAGTCACCGTTCCTGTCATTTATCATGAGACCATGCCCAAACCACGGCTGCGTGAAAAGCCCCCGTTCTCAAAGGCTGCTTCCACAGACCCTGGATTCCACGGACTAGAGAGCACTGCGAAGGTGGTTTTCCCCCTAATTCCTACAGTTG